GGAATCAGAGATCCCAGCCAGGGGTGAATTGGAACAATAACTCTTTTAATTTGTCTGTGAGTTTGGCAGAGGTTGACAGATCCAAGAAAATATGCCTGTTCTCTAAATTTTAGCCATCAGCGGGGACGTCTACACGCCACCCTACGGCGATGAAGCAATGTGCTATGCTTCTGTACAGCGTGCTATGGAGATGTAGTAATCATGCAGATCTACACATGATCACTAGCTACTTCACCATAGTGGCATACTATAGCTGGGAACTGGGACCGTGCTGCTACAGTGACGTAGCTGCAAAATCTAAGTGTGTGCCACCTGTACAGCACAGCACGGACGGTTACTACGCTGTGTTTTAGTACTTCCAAAAGGAAGTACTAAAGCATGGTGCAGTAGCATCATCACTGTATGGCAATGTGTAGATGCACCCAGCAAGTCAAGGGCTGTGGGATTCCTACACCAGCAGGGAGGCTCAAGGGGACAAAGTATATGCCAGAGATGTGATTTGATGATTTAACTCACTCGGGTCCACATCTCCCATTCTCAGGTCCTGCATTCTGATAAAAAACTCTACTATGGATTCCTCAGGGTGCTAAGATGGGAGCTGTGAGGCTACAACTCATGAGGAGCCTGGGCATAGAGTTTACATGGCAGGGACCAGAACACGTCAAAATATAGCAAAGAAAACCCAAGCATTTTGACCAGGTCTAGTAATGGCATTTTGAATCTGAAGGCAGGCCTGAAACCATCCCGTTCTTTGACTGGAAAGAGACAATTCCACTAGACAATTTATGCCAAGCACAACCTGAATTTGCACAATTGATGGTTTACAAGATAGGGAGCATTACAGGCTGGAGTCTTAATATTTGATCACACAAATGAAGCCAATTAGCATGGTGGCCAGTCACATCAAGGCACTAGGAGAGAAGTAAAATCCCTTGCCTTGAGAGACTCCCCAAAGCATTTCCCTGCTGAGGACTGAAACCAACCACAAGGCATCCAGATGTTCCTTACATGATCTGTGCCTGTGCCTAGTGAGAGGCAGGCAGCAGAACTATGGTGCTGTCCTGGAACTATCTATTATGTACATGGTGTTAATCCCACCTATTCCCAGGTGTGGTGCTGATTCACTGGGACACCATAGGCAAAGATTCTTCTCTTTGCCTCCGATTTCTTCACTGTTACATGGGTTTAATGGTCCTGAACCCCCTCCTGAGGGTAGAAGGTGAATTCATTCATGCTGGTAAAGTGAAACCAAGATTCTCTGGTAGAAGACACTACAAGGGA